TCACGGTTTTGCTTTTGGTTCTACCCAAAAGGACATAATTATCACTCCCTCCCCTAACTAATGTGAGACTTTGTTTGTATTTCCCTTCCAAATTCAACAAAATGCTTTTATAAACATTTACACAATTTGATGTTAAAGTCAATTGTATAAGTCAAATAAAAGATTCAGTTGAGAGATTTGTATAGAATAATAGTTCGTGCTCTAGGTCTCTCCTCTTATTCATTGAAACATCTCTTCAAGTTGGCTTGGGTAGATTGCATTGACTGGATTTGGTCGGGTATGGTGGACCAAGTCGGGTTGGATTTTCCAGCCCGATAGGCTTGACTAGGATGGTCTATCCCATGTTGCTTCTTTGACTTCACTTCAAGTAAACCTAGTACATTAATAATGATGGAATAGTAAAACCCTCGTACATATCAACTTCAACTAAACTTACTATTCATAAAGGAAAAGGTTCTCCCTAGAGATCGTCTTCATCCCTCGAAGTAGCCCTTTGTGCCAACAGATTAGCTTGGCATCTAACATGGAGGAAACCAGCAACATTTTTATGCCCAACTAGATGTTTGATTTCAGTCTTCAAGATTTTCAGCTCCATTAGATCGTTCTCCTCATCGTTCAGCAGAAGAATAGCTTCGAGACTATTCAATTCCACCACGATAGAGGTATTAGTACAATAATTTCATCCTTTTAATACACAACATAAATAATTTTATATAGCTCATTAGATAAAAATATTAAAAAAAAACATAAAAAAAACATGTGATTTATTTTTGTATATCCATTAGTGTCTGGTCAGCTTGCACACACCAAGACTAATCTCGCGGGACATCACCAGATTCTACAACATTTTATGTTGGAAATACACATAAAGATTAATTCCTAAGATAGGTGTAAAAAAAACATAATGATTAAGATTACACGTCTCTTCAATTCTCATAATTTTTTAGTACTAGGTGTGATTTTACTATTGTATTCTAACAACTAAAAGAGGAGGGAAAAAAAAACTCACTCAAGAAGATATTTTCTTACTTTATGCCGAGGACTTTTTCACTTTTGAATGACATTAGATAATTATATTCACATCCCTAATATATATCTTGATTTATGTAGCCCAATAAATTAGCAGAAGAAATATATAAATATATATATATTCTCAATGCAAACCTGACTTTCCAATTATGAAGTAGACTATAAGCCAATTGTCACATGTCAAACACTAATGTTTTTAGATCATTGTTATATGCACTAAAGTTTTAATTTGTTGGTTTTTTGAAAAAGAAGAAATATAAAAAAAATATTCAAATAAGGTTAGGCAGGATAAAATATCTTTTTCCTTATTCGCACATTTGTTCTTGAATGTATTTCCTCCATTATTTTTTATTGCTTAATTTACAAATATTTTAGAGTTGAAGAATAATTAATTATCACCTAAAATAAAGGATTTTCCTCCCAAAAAGGGGCAATGACCAGTTAGAGAGCAGATAGAAAAAGATATTAATTTTAAATTGTAAACGGAATTACAAAAGATTTCGGTTGAATCCTGACCGTCCAAATACCTAATCCTAAAATTTGTTTGACACGTCAAAGGATTTGTTTTGTCAACTCGGGAAGGCGTTAGAAAATTCCGCAGTCAAAAGACGTTTTATTTATTTTTGATTGGCTGGCGGCCCACGTCAGCCAATAAAAGTTCGCCACGTGATGGTCGACGTGCTCAAAAATTCTTGTGTCAAATAATCCCCTGAACCCCTCGATACTTCAAAAGCTATCAACATCAATTCATCCCAATTAATTAAAATATTTATTTTTAAGCAGATAAATGCGAGTCAATGATATGATTTTTTTATTAAAGAAAATGTTATACATAGATAAATGCGAGTAACTTTTATTTTATATACACTAGAGCAAAATTTTGCATGCTAACTTTTTATAGGTATGATGTTTAAATTCTGTAATTTTAAGGAGACAAATTAGAGAAAAAATAAAAAGATAAAAGACGATAATGATTTTATTTTATATACAATTTTTGAATTATGACAAATTAGAAGTAGTAATTCATTTTTTTTTCTAAACTATACCTATCTCCCACCAATAAGTTATGGATTCGAATCTTTATCTCACAATATTGTACTTAAAAAATAATTCTTTCTTAATATATAACTTAAATTGATTAGAAAAAATTATATCTTTTTTAAGCGGGATATTGTTCTCTTTGGGCATAACTTCACGGCTTTACCAATGGAGATAATTGTTCTCTTTCATTCTCTTCCCCAATTAATATGGGACTCTATTTGCACTTCTTACAAACCCAACAGGTTTAAAATCAATATTTAAAAAAAAAAAGTGCCATAGGCTTGTTAAAATAATTTACCATACTTTTATTTATGAAAATAAAAGATGTAGAGAAGGGGAAGGAGGAGAAGAAGTTGGTGGGGAAACATTTTAATTGTGTTGGTGGAGAAAAGTGGAGACAAAAAGACAAAAGGGGAATTGAAGTTCCAAGAAATTGAAGAAAAGAATTTGGAGGAATGGGGCTGAAAATGACTGCATACACCATCCAATCTCCATCTTCCACCTCTGGCCTCCCTATTCTTTAACTTCATGTTTCTCACCTTTTTTTTTTCTTCCAACTTAGATAAATATCTTAACAGGTGAATTACAGTCGCACATTTTTCTTTTCATTTTGAAGTCTATAATTCAACCTCTTGGTCTCATATTCGATGTATTACAAAAATGTAGTTTTTGTCCTTTTTATCCCGTTTTAGAAAATTTTATTATTTTTTTAGATGGAAAGTAACAGAATTTTTAGGATGACAAAATGACAATGTTTTATTTTATTTTCTATTATTTTTCAGACAACAAAATATTTATTTTCATTTTAAAGATGACACGTGTAAAGATTAATCAAAATTTAAAGAACTACAATTATATTTAATCTTTGCTGTGTTTCATTTTTTAGAATGAAAGTTCAATTAAAATTCTCTCCTTAAAAGAAAGGGCAAAACCTCAAACCAACCAAACCAAAATAATTCATCCCCTCTTTTCATCTCTTAATTTGGAAGAAAGAAAGAATGTCTTTTATTTTACTTTAGAACAATTTTCTTGTTTTGTTTCAATTAATTGTTGCCCATGCTCCAAGGTCCCCCCAAATAAATAAAATTAAAAATTCAATACCATTTTCTCCCTCAATTCATTAAATATTTGAAAGCTGGAAAATGTTAAAAAAAAATAATCATAAAAATAAAAACAAAAATTTTGAATAATCTTGATAACTTTTCCCTTTTTATTTCTTAGTTGATCGGATGTAAAAATAATTTTATACATATTAAAAAGTAAAAATAAGTTCTTTTAAATTCGTTTAGTTGATTATTTGAAAATAAAAATTTGGAAACAAGATATTCAATGAAAAGAAAAGAAATAGAGTTCAATTCCTTGTTTTGATTTGAAAATTGAATCTTCATTTAAATAATTATTCAACACGTCTTTGATAATATATTTTTAAACTACTACTATACCTACATTAATCAATTGAGCTTAAATATTTAAAATTTATTAATATTTTGCATAAAGTTTTAATGGATCTTGTAGAAAAGGATTAAGAAAAGTAGGTGGCGCGAAAGCAACTGTCTTCCGTTGTCCCTACCTTCTGAAAAGTCATAAATATAACCGTTTTCTCGTTTTTTCATTAACCTTTTTTCATTTAACAATTCCTAATTTTTCTCTGTTCAAAAAGAAGCGCTTTTCCTTTTCTTCGAAAATCCAAACACCGTCAACTCTGCCCGCTGGAGCCCCGAAGAAATCCGCACCATACGGATATCTCCGATCGCGTTGCGCCTAATACGTCTGCTTTCTACTTAGAACTTGAATCCTCGGGGAGCTTCAATTTTTCCGATTTACCGCGCGATTGGTTCCGCCGCACCGGTGAGAACTCTTTTTCTTCCACTCTTCGATCTTCTTCTCCGTCGTCGTATTTGAAGTTTTAGTTTGTGACTGATTCTTAGCGGATGTCTTCATTGAATTCTTCGGTTTGATGAGAGTTCAATTCGAGTTTCGATTGGACGTTTCTTCTGAGTTTGGAAATTGGAGCTATTGTTTTCTATAATAAGTTCGAAGTATTACCATTTGACTATTTGTTTTCTCTGGTGGATCGTCCGTAAAAAGCGTTTAGATGTATATATATATTTCTTTTAACCATAATTACTTAATTTTGTTTGTCGTTTTATAACGATTTCTGAAATTTGAGTATGTATCGTGGGTTTATTTATATTCCTCTCTCTGCAAGATCTCTGAGGCTTCTGTCGAGAGATTTATATGAGCAGTAAGGGCTCAGAATAGGCCGGTCTCCATTATCAGATGCACGAACCTGCCGAAATCAGGGCACTGGGGGATTCCTCCTCAAAACCCTTAAAAATTATTGTTTATGCTGAATTGCAAAATTTTCACCTGTGTAACTGCATTAATTGACAGCTGCACCTGAATTATGAAGTTCAAAAGAGGAGAATATTAATCCGAATATTCCAACTGGGAACCTTGTTCTTTTCTAATGTCGTACATAACCATAATCTTAATTCTTTTTCTAATGCGTTTCTCTTTCGTGTTGACTTCGGTTTGGTAATTAATGTCCATTTATTACGGCAATGTTAAATTCTTACAACGGACAGTGATTCTGGTTCTCCTTGCATCTTGCATGTGGACATCCACCATTTCGCAGGGAAAATTAAATATTGTTCACAAGAAAATTTAATGGTGCCTTGTTGGGTGATTTTTATACTCTTTTCTAATAGACAGGTCAAATAATAAGCCAAAAACATTGACAGTTGGAGTGAGTGATACATTTTCAATTTCACCTGGTCCCCTAGACCTACAAGTATTATTTCTTCTAAGAAACTTTGGTAATGCGATTTCTTTACTTTTACAAGTTTCAGAATTGTTCTTGATGAAATTAGTGGGGGAGGCGGCAGAATGTGCTGGTAATTTTACACTGTTAGAGGTATGAGAGAGAAACTGGTACTTTGAACTTATATCATCGGTGGTATTAAGATTTTTGAATCTACATCCAACCATTGGAGTACCATTGGCTTCTAATTCAATAATTTTCTGAATTTTCTGTATGGAGAGATAAGTTGGCAGAGAAGATGAAGGGAGCCAAATGATGAGTCGGAATATACGAAGTTTTTCCTGAGAGGCCCCTTCATAGCCGAATAAGTTCCCGTCAAGTTTCACTTCCTTTTCTTACCCTGCCGTAAACTGCAATAGCCCATACTCTCTATCGCCCCGCCCGGGAGTTTCTGGGGGGACCCCTTCTCTGTAAACGCAATTTGTGTCGAAGCAAGCCGAATCCCAAGCTGTAAGAATTAGACGTTGATGCAATTTATGGCAGTCCTCCTTTTTAAAAGCGGCCCTTTGTATACCCTACCTTATGCTCGTCTTTCTTTCCGTGGTCTGATCTACTGGGAATGAGGGCGTTGATTGATTAGAAACTAGTCAATTCGAGTTAATTTGTTCTAGTTTTCAAGTTCTCCTTTCAATTGATCTTTGCTGCTATAAAACTGTATGTACTCTACTTTATTTATTGGTTTTTGCATTTTTGTTTCTTTTCTTTAACGCTGGTTTATTCCTTGCTTTTTTGTTCATTCTTTGAATTGTGCATTTGTGATGGGCAGATACAATGCAGAGAAAAGGATCTTTCTTTCCGTGAGTACTGTTTTTCCAGATTGCGGGGAACGCGAATTGTTTAGCTATGTGAAGAAATCTATCACTATGGTCTGATTTCGATTGTTTGGATGGATGTATGCGAATCGGCACGGGCATTGAGAAAGCATATATTGGCAGCGGCGCCCAGACAACCGTTGGTTCCTGCAGAAAAGAACAATGCCGTTATCCCCCGGTCTCCCTCGCGTTCAACGAACAAGTCACCTTCTTCTTCATCGTCGGCTGGTTCTCGGCGTTGCCCATCACCAAGCATCACGCGGACGGTTCCTACATCATCCCAATTGGTTCTTAAAAGAGCCCAATCAGCAGAGAGGAAGCGACCCTCCACACCCCCTTCTCCTCCAAGCCCCTCCACGCCAATTCATGGTTCGCCGGCAGATGTACAGTTGCTATCGAAAAGAATGATTGGTGGTCGACCTGAGAGTTTATGGCCCTCTACGATGAGAAGCTTGAGCGTCTCATTCCAATCCGATGCATTTTCTATTCCTGTTAGCAAGAAGGAAAAACCCGTGTCATCTTCTCTTTCTGATCGAACTCTGAGGCCTTCTTCCAATTTTCCCCATAAGCAGGCTGAAACGCAAAATGTTGCACGGAAGCCCACGCCAGAGAGAAAGAAGAGTCCTCTTAGAGGTAGATGTGGGCATGATCAGTCAGAGAATTTCAAGCCAGTTGATGGTTCTTCACGTTCCCAAGTGGTAGATCAGCATAGATGGCCAAGTAGAGTTGGTGCCAAGGCATCCTCTAATCCATTAAGCTGTAGTACAGATCTCACTGATAAGAGAGTCCCAACCTTAAATAAGCCACTCAGAGGAAGTGGATTATCTTCCACGAGGGCAACCATGGTTGAGACTACCAATAAACCTTTACAGAAATCAATCAGTGGTGTTATGAGGCAATCATATGTTGATGGAAGGAGTAGGGAAGAAGAATTTGAGGCCAATTCAGCTAATGATAATTCGACGCAGGAATCTGCAATTAAAAAGGTTGTTTCTTCAAGTTTACCAGGCACAAAAGTAACAACAAACCGAGTTGTGAGATATGACTCACCTACTCTTGGGCCACGTCCATCTTCACCTTCTAGGACACCAGTAGTATTCTCTGTTACCAGAGGAGTTAGTCCATCTCGAATTCGACCGTCAACTCCACCTCCTCGAGGCATTAGCACGTCACGAATAAGACCTTCAAATTCTTCTCCACCGAATGTTTCAACTTCTGTACTTAGTTTCATAGCAGATTTTAAGAAGGGAAAGAAGGCAGCAAGCTATATAGAAGGTGCTCATCAGCTACGGCTTCTATATAACAGACATTTGCAGTGGAGATTTGCTAATGCACGGGCAGAGGCAGTTCTGTATAATCAGGGGTTGACAGCAGAGGTAGGATTTTAGTGCATGTCAATCTTGCTTGATTATGGACCCTTTTTTGGCGTCAACTTGTTTATTTGTTCTGTTGGCACCAGACGTGATTTACTGTTACTTGTGATTGTAAACAAACAGTCTGGTATTCTGATGATTAACCTTTGGGAAGATATTTGCTTGTGGTCGGTCAGAAACTATGAGTTATATTCTGGCGGTCCAATTAGATGAAGATATTATTTTTACCTGGTAGTAACTTTTAGGGACATATTTTCTTTCTTTTATTTATTTATTTTTAGTTTTAATTTGTGGCATGTTCAGTTGCTTGTCGGGCATTATTGCTTGTATATTTTAAGTGCAAGTAAAAGATTAATAACTTTTGTGCTTTGGTGCAGAGAGCTCTTCATGGTGTAAGGAATACTACACTAAATCTGTGGGATTCAGTTATCAGAAAAAGGATCAATCTCCAACAGTTGAAGCTAGAGCTCAAGTTGATCTCAATTATGAATGATCAAGTAATACCAACAATTCCTTGAAAGCCATTGCAAAGCATTAGTGTAGTTTGTTAAGCGGGGCTCTTATATTTTTTTCTGTGCACACAGTTTTGGGTAATAGGTATAACTGATGCTCATATTAAATAACTTGATAGATAACATTATGCCTAGACAGATCTGAGCAAAAATACTAGTTTCTGGCATTGTACTTGCCAACCATGGTCTAATATTAATGAATAAAACTTGGGACTTATGCAATAGGTATTTTAGTCCATTGTCTTTACCTCAAGTTTTAGCATAAAATGTCAAACTAGAGTAGCTGTAAGGAACTTGTTTTTATTTCTCCAGCAATGTAGAACTAGTCTTAACATATGTTTCAACAAGGTTAGTTTTTTATGAGAGAATTTTCGGCTATGTAAATATTCTGATTTTAAATTTATTAATTTTAGAAACTTATGACTAGCTTTTAGATGAATGGTGTTTTCATCGAGAAACATAACTTTCTTTTTCTTTTTTGGTTCATCCGTTAAATCAGAGCCTTTCTAGTCATTTGAATTTGGAGTTTGTATTTGAATACCATCAGCTCTCATGCATACTTCACGGAAATTATATAATTTTTATATTGCATTTGATTGATGCAGATGAGCTACCTCAATGAATGGGCTGTGCTTGAAAGAAGTCATAATCGATCCTTATCAGGTGTCATAGATGATTTAGAGGCAAGCACTCTTCGTGTTCCAGTAACTGGAGGAGCAAAAGTATGCAACATCGGCCAGTAATTTTTGTTAACCGTTGAAAGCTGAATATTTGAAACTGATTATAACCACTCTTTTATAGGCAGATGTTGGCTCTTTAAATGGTGCTATCTGTTCCGCTGTTGAGGTGATGCAAGCAATGGGAGCCTCCATTTGCTCCTTGCTCCCGAGGGTAAAATATTATATCTCTTTCTTGAATATGATCGATATCCTAATAGCTTTCCTCCACATCTTCCTCTAATGAAATCAAAAGCCTCTGCTATTGCTTTGGACATTGATCGATCTTTTCATAATGCAATTGGTGTTCCTAGTGCTTGAGAATATGAATAATTTTGATCATCATAGCTGGAGGAGGATAACTCAATGCTGGAATTATTAATAATTTAGAAGGTTGAGAATCCATAAATTGCATCAGATTTAGAATTCTCCCTTTAGCACTTAGCATTTTATCCCGTGAGTTCTACTTGTTACGGAGATTAGAATTTTCATTATATTACAAACTTGAACTGATGAATTTTAAGATCGTAGGCTCATGGAGTCAATGATAGCTATGCATCATAGTGAAAGGAACTCTGGTTTATTGTATTATATCTCCTTTCAAGGACATACCAAATCATATGAACCTTACATATTAAGAAATTTCATTATTATTTGTGTGCTCCTGGAAATTTCGCTCTCCATATTGTATCTTGTGTGCCATATTTGTTTTATATCTACATCAGGGAGTGACCGTCTTACAACTCTACACATCTTTTAGGCCATTGAAACTCTAATTTATTAAATTGTTAATGACTGTTGTATAATTTTATTTGTTTTCCAGGTGGAGATACTGCAGACGTTGGTTTTTGAACTTGCTATTGTTGCAGCCAAAGAAAAAGCTATGCTTGATGAATGTGTAGCATTGTTGGCTTCAACAGCGGCTTTGCAGGTGGGGATTAATATTCGATTGCCGCATAAATTAAAGAATGGATTTACTTGCCTTAATCTTGATCTAATTGAACATAAAAAACTATTCCCCAAAACTTATGCGTTTGGTTCACTCTTGACCCTTCATTTATTGCTGATAAAAGTTATTTTATTTTAGCAAGAAGAAAGTGCATATTTCAATTACCAGCCACTTTTTTTCAACGACGCTTGTTTGAAAGCAGGTTCAGGAGCAGAGTTTATGGACACATCTGATACAAATGAAACAAGGACTGGAAAAGGGCTGCCAGTTTTAGGCTGTTAAAGGCAAGCTTCCTGACGTGAGTGCCCAGCTAACAAAACCCCATCTACTCATTACTTCACCGGAGATGTAAATTCATTCTTTAAATTCTTAGCAGGAGTATGTAGCTGTAAATCTTTTTCAACTTTAATCTATATTCTCATTTCAAAATTTCTTCAACGCCTCACATTCTTCCACTGCAAGAGCTTGATCTGGCTTACTCTTAATTTTCTTCTGCTTGCTTACCAATTGTTATGCAAACTGATGGAGAAATTGAAGGGTCATTACACAATGTGGGGACTAGGTCAGGAATTGGAGTGGAAGAAAAGTCCAAGTCGCTGCATATTTCAGGTTCAGGTGCCCTCCTGTTTCTATAGTCCCTTTTATTTGAAGCCCAAATGATAATGAACTCTGCATAAAATTTCAAGTCTTTTAAATGAAATGAAATCTATGGTGCTGACTGCAGAGTGGATTCATTTTGTCACTTCAAGATCAAAAGCTAAAAATTACTGTCATTTAGTATGTTGACTAACTACGTTGACTTTCTAAAACAAAAACTGTTTTATATATTTGCTCCGCTGACTTAATTTAAGGTGCTTTGCCTAAATTTGTTCAGTTCAAGATTCTATTTGTATATTTTTATTAGATTTAAATATCATTTTTGTCCCATATATTTTGAGTTTGATTTATTTTAGTTATTGTATTAATACGCTAGTGTACTATCTTCTTCAACTTTTGTTATTTTAATCCATATGTTTTTGTTGAATGTTATTATTTTAGTTCTTTTATTTCTATTTTTATCTCATTTATTATATTTCAAAAAATTTAACGATGCTAAATTTTTTTAAATGTTATATTAAATTTTTTCAAATAGGAATTCAAAACAATCCTAAAGAGATCTAATATATTAAAAGATTTATATTTTATATTAAATTTTTCAAATAGAGATCAAAACGGTCGTACAGATATCAAAATTGACGTTTTTTAAAATGGAAGAATCCAAGATATTTAGAAGTATAAAGAAGTCTGAAAGTAGTTCCTAGCATTTGAATTTATCTTCAAAATTATAGGTGGTCCAACAAAACTTGGATAATAAAATGCCAAACCAACCTTTGAATCCATTTTGTCAGGATTAGTATTTATTTCTGGAATTAAGAACTCTTTTTTCGTGCCTTTCGTTATTTTTTTCAATTTTTCTATGGAATTGGATGAAATAGAAAATAGAAACGAAGAGGTTGGATTTTGGAAGAAGAATCAAGAATAGTGTGGAGAGACACGTGCGATGAGGAAACCTTAGAGAAGGGGAGACACGTGCGATGGGAAATATAATAATAATTGTCACCGCCTTCTGGCGCCAAGCCAACCGCCAATGAACTCTCTCTTACTAAACCCACCGTTTTGATACTTCATATGAATTTCCTATAATGCCCCCAACTCCACGCCCTAATTTCATCTTTAAAAAATCCTTAGCTTACGGCTCCGATGATGTTCACCAAAGAACATAATGCTTATTGTTTAGTATTAAGTAATATTTTCTATTTAATTTACTGAGTTAGTGGACTATATATTAAAATTTAAGACCGAGGAAAAAAAGATAAGAATATGAAATGAATTTACGAACAGGTAAAAAATGTTTAATGGGAAGTCATCGTTTAACTAAATTCTTGAAATCAAATTAAAAATTTTAAACTTATGGTGATCAAATTGTGACTCCCAGATCACATTTTTCAGAAGAGATCGGTAAATTTACTCATTGTTATAATTATTAGTTTAAACCTCATTTAATCCTTTAACTTTTAAATATTTGAACTTTAAAAAATTAACTATTTTGATTTGTAAATTTCTAAAAAAATAACTATTTTGATATTTGTTGTATAATTTGAAGTCCAAATACTTTCCTTCTTTGAGTTCATTTTCACATTAACACATTAGTATACGCCCTATAAAGTCCAAATCATCATCAATTAATTGAAAAAAATAAAGATTATAACAAAATTATTTATTATAACAAAATTATTTATTTTTTAAAGCGGAAAGAAGAAATCATATATTTTGAAAGTTCAATGACTAAAACAAAAAAAAAATCTAATGATAGAGACCAAACTAGAATGATATTGAATATGTTCATCCAAGTAACGATTTAATCTCTAAACTTTAATTTGCAATAACTTAGTCTATGTACTTTTAAATTTGTAACAATTTAATCACTAAACTTTAGTATGTAACAATTTAATCCATGCAGTTTAAAGTTTGTAACGAAATCGTAAAAATTTTTGTTAAGCTTCTTATACATGTAGACCGACAAATCAATGATGAACCAATATATTACAAAGACTAAATTGTTAATATGATAAAAATTAATACTTAACTTTTATGAAATTTTTCAATAACTACCTAAATTTAAAAACTAAATTATTATCCAATACGAAGAATAAATTATTAAAAATTAAGGTTTAGATAGCGTATAGTTGTATAGGGACCAAGCCGTTTCTTAACCTAATTTATTTCAATTAAACTAGATTTGTAATATATTAGTAACGAGCTCTGGTAATAAAGTGAGAAGTGGCAGATTCGTAAAATTCAGGAAACTGAGGACTGTTTTGGTATTCGGCGTTATTTCCCCGCGCTCTAGAATTTGCATTCGAACACTCCGGAACTTTCACGCGCTCTTCCGATTTCAGATAGTAGTCTTCTTTTTCGCATCAAAACAAAATTTCTCGACCTTTCTGTAAAACCCCTATAAATCCTCTCTCTCAAAACATGAATCTTCAGATAAAATTTCCTGTTCTCTCCAAATTTCAGATTACAAAGCTTAACCATTGAAAAAAAAGCTCTGCAAAACTCTGTTCCTCACATTTACACAACGCTGTAATTTCTGCAAGTTCCGAGCG